TGAAAGTGAGGGCACGGAGGGAGGCGAGTTGCGGGTGAAGTTTCACGGCGACAGGATCATGGGTGGCCGAATCCGAATCGCTGATTATCTTCACGCTCTCTATCGCTTGCGCCACTCGCGCCTCAACTAGCATGGAATCGTGCATTTTGATTCCCCCAGGGGACCGACAGGTGCCCACCACACCTGCAGGGTAGCAAACCTCCGCCCCGAGCCTGGCAGGAACAAAAGAGGAGCACAAAATCGACGGCTCCATGTTGAAATCACCGCCTATGACAAATGGGACGTCCAAGCTTTTAGACCCAGGCGCAACACAAGCCAACATATCCCTATTGGTACCATTCAAACCAACGCAGTTCTGAAGGTAAACGCTAACCACATAGAAGCTGGCCTGGCCAGGGAGGTGAACCAGGACCCCCGCAGCCCGATGATTTCTCAAACAGGGACCGAAGTCGGGGAAGTGCAAACCAAGAAAAGCACGGGCCAGGATCCCAACGCCCGCGGACGGGCCTCCTCCAGGCCCCAGGCATCCAGGCTCAAAATGTGCTTCCCAACCATTTCGGACACACCAAGCCTCAGCCTTGCGGCGGTCCTCGGAGGTGATGAGCTTGTGCTCCTGACACAGCACGACGTGCACCGCCGTCAGGGCTAAAAACTGCTTGAGAGAGTTCCAAGTCGTGCAATTCGCGGCGACGAACTCCATACCCAGATGATCCCAGGAATATTCGACTTGCAACCGATGATGTCCAGATGTGACAGGTGCATCCAAAACTGGGCAAGAGGATGGGGGCATGGGGTAGGAGGGGTCCGTCACAGCGCTGTTGCCCCGACGACTTGGGCTTGGCAGGTGGCCCCGTGGGCGACTTGGGCAAAGGGGGCTCTCCTGCGCCACGCTGGACCGATTCACGTGCTGCGGCTCTGACATCGGCCGCCGACTTGGCTGGAGAGGGCGGCGGCTGGCTGGCCGCTGCCGGCATGCCGACGTCAGCTGCTGCTGCTGGGGCTCCACCACCAGCACTGGCTGACGCAGAGCTAGACTCAGCAGTGGCAGGCTCAGGTGTTCCAGCAGCCGCTGTGCCAGCAGCCTCTGCATCGTCCGTCTTGCGCTTCTTGCCAAGCAAGCGGTCCTGCAGGGCTTTGTGTGCCGCCTTGTGCTCCTCCGCTCGTTGCTTGATGTCGCCGAAGAGCTTCGTGCAGCACGCCCTGATGTGATCAGCCATCTGCTCCTTGCGGCGGGTAGACTCATCCGAATCCTGCTGAGATACTTCAACACCAACCTCTTCGAGCCCAAACAGCCCACCGTCATCAACTTGCAGGCCAGTGAGCCGTCCCTCAAGAATGTGATTGAGGTTGATGGACGGGCCAGCTGGCTGAGGATGTTCGGCAGGCTGCGCAACCGACAAATGCAACTCCGAGATGGCGTCCTTGTACTCAACATCGTACTTCTCGAGCTCGGCCAGAGTGGACTCCAGCTGGCCCCGCAGGTTGGACAGCTTCTGCTCCATGGCGTGCACAACTTTGAGATCCTTGTCCAGCTTCTTCTCCAGCCGAGTGATCTCCTTGTGCGCGTTGTCAGCTCTCTCCTGCGGTGGCACAGACGAGGCCTTGAGCTTGTCCAGCTCCTTCTGCGCCTGCTGCAACAGGACGGTGTTGCTAGTGCGCTCACACAACTGAACAAGCTGCTCGAGGTCCGACTTGCTGGGCTGCACTGGAGCAGGCGGCCCAGCTGGGGCGGCGGCGGCTTGTCCTGCAGCGACTCCAGCAGCGGTCCGACGAAGTGCTGCTGGGTCCCCGCGAGCAGTCCTCTTGTCGTCAGCTGGAGCAGACTCGACAGGCGCCTTCCACCACTTCTTGCAATGCTTGCAGTACTGAAAGTATGATTCGTTTCTTTTGCACCCACAATGTCGGCACTGCCAGCGAGGGCCGCGGCTGAAGTCGCCGCCAACACCGCCACGATCACCGCCCATTGCAAGTGCGCCGTAGTGAATGACCGAGCCAAAAAGGCCCGCTGTCACCCAGCCGTTCTGAAGTGTCGGTGACAACAAGCTCAAAAAGTTGAGCCAGAACGGCTGAGGAGGAGGAGGAGGAGGAGGAGGGAGGAGGAGGAGGAGGAGGAAGGGGGGGGGAGGAGGAGGAGGAGGAGGAGGAGGAGGGAGGGAGGGGGAGTGGAGGGGGAGGGGGGGGGAGGGGGAGGGGGAGGGGTGAGGGGGAGGGGGAGGGGAGAGGAGGAGGAGGAGGAGGAGGAGGTGGAGGAGGAGAGGAGGAGGAGGAGGAGAAGGGGAGGGAGGAGGAGGAGGAGGAGGAGAGGAGGAGGAGGAGCGTGGAGGGGAGGAGAGGAGAAGCGAGAAAGAGAGAGAGAGAGTGATAGAGAGGAGGAGGAGGAGGAGGAGGAGGAGGAGGAGGAGAGGGAGGAGGAGGAGGAGGAGGAGGAGGAGGAGGAAGAGAGAAAGAGAGAGAGAGGAGGAGGAGGGAGGAGGAGGAGGAGGAGGAGGAGGAGGAGGAGGGGAGGTAGGGGAGGAGGTGAAGGAGGAGAGGAGGAGGTGGAGGAGGAGGAGGAGGAGGAGGAAGGAGGAGGAGGAAGAGAGAAAGAGGAAGGGAGAGAGAGAGGAGGAGGAGGAGGAGGAGGAGGAGGAGGAGGAGGAGGAGTGAGTGAGGAGGAGGAGGGAGGAGGAGGAGGAGGAGAGAGAGAAAGAGAGAGAGAGAGAGAGAGGAGGAGGAGGAGGGAGGGAGGAGGAGGAGGAGGGAGGAGGAGGAGGAGGAGGAGGAGGAGGAGGAGGAGGAGGAGGGGAGGAGGAGGAGGGGGAGGAGGAGGAGGAAGGGAGAGGAGGAGGAGGAGAGCTGGAGAGAGGGAGAGAGGAGGGAGGAGGAGAGAGGAGGAGGAGGAGGAGGAGGAGGAGAAGAGGAGGAGAGGAGGAGAAGGAGGAGGAGGAGGAGGAACGTGGAGCAGTCTGCCCAAGGGGGGCCCCGGGGCAACGTCAGGGGGGGACCAGCGCAGGGGGGGAACCATCGAGTTGGAATCGGCGATGCGTCGCCGACAGATCGGCGATATGCTCCCAATGGCGAATCCGAAAGGTCCCCGGCGGGGCGGGCTACCAGGACCTCATCAGCGATGAGTGGGCGACTGGGGGCCGATGAATCCCCCCTGAACCTATTCCCTCCCTAACGGTGCGCCTGACTGGAAGGCCGCCCCCCTCTCCACATAAACCTCCGAGAACGGCGATCCCGACGCCGCCATCGTCCTCGCCGCCGACCCCCTCCCTCGCGCCAGCTCCGCCGCCGACCCCCTCCCTCGCGCCAGCTCCCCCCCCAAGCCCCAGGGGCACCCAAAGGCGGCAAGAACGCTTGATCCAGCATCATCGGCGGCGGCGACGGCGGCGGGCCCCAGACCAGTCCTGGAGCACGTTCTGGCCAGGACTGCGAGGCGGATCTAGCCTTGGCCACGAGGTGGTCCCTGGATGCTCAAACAACGAGACAGAAGCGCCCAAAAGCTCGCTCCTCGAACACCGACCGTCGATCACCCTCCACTACTCCCGACCAACCTCCGCTGGGACTCGACCCCCCCCTGGCACCCTGGCGCGCCGTCGAGAAGTCGCCCCGATGGCCGCTCGGCGGCACCCTACGCATCCCCCTTCGGGGCCCAAGAACCGCGGGGCGACGGCCCGCGCGGTGACCTCGAACCCCCCGGCGACCACCCCGCGCGGACCGTCAACGCACGGCCTTGGGACCTCGGAGGCCCCAGCCGCCCCGAGACCTTCTCGGAGAACGCCTCGGGGCCCCAGAACCGCGTGGCGGCCCTGAGCCCCCACTGACTCATCACGCGGGGCGGTCACCACGCCGCTTGGTGGCCCCCCGCACCCCCAAAGCCCGGCGCCAGCCCTGGATGGGGGCTCCCCGGGATAGGTTCACGAACCTGGGCCGAGAGGGCGCCGAGGCCTCCATCGCCGCGAGGCCCCACCTGGGGGGGGTGGCCGCCGCCGTCGCCCTCGCCGGTCGCCCTCGCCGCCGCAGCTCGCCGCCGCCGTTCTCCCCGCCGCCGCCGCCACTCGCGCTTGCCCTGCCCTGGAGGACAGAAGTCAATGGGCCCTGGGACATACATCTAAATACACACAAATGACAGGATTCCCAATATTTTCCTGGATTTTCGTCGCCCCCCCCCCGCTTCCCATATTTTCTTACATTTTCCTGAGCGTCGGCGATTAATTGTGTGTGTGTGTGTTTCTTTCCCTCCTGAAGAAGGCGGCACGAGCACAAGCTCTCGGAAGTCCGCGCGGCGTTTTTGCATCGGCGCCATGCCCCCCTCCCTGGCGCGCGCAACGCGCCAGGGGCGGCGCCGCCAAGCGGCCCAGCGCTGGTCCAAGATATCCGCGCGGAGCTCCGACTGCTTGTGTCTACGCCGCTGGCTCTTCTTCGAGACTCGCCGCCGCACTCGCACTCGCGCTCACGCTCGCACTCGCCGCCGATTTTTCTTCTTATCCGAAACTCGCGCTCGCGCTGCCCGCCCTCGCAAGATCAACCAACATCGAACCGGAGATCCGATCGAATCGGCACGTGCGTCGGATCGGGCCGCATCGGCACGGAGTCAATATTGAATCGGGTCGGCTGCGCCAAGATGCAAAAGAGCGCCGTGTGAGCACTGGACCGACCGCGCCGAATCGATTGGATACCGAAACCAGATCGAACTGGCCGAAGTAAGCATCGAACCGGCTCGATCGGATTGAAATTGGCCTGTCACCGAAACTCGCACCCGCGCTGTCCTCCTCCTCCCCCTCCTCCTGGGCGCTGGGCGCTGATGGCTATGGTGTCGTGGTCGACGCAGCCTCCCTCCTCCTCCTCCTCCTCCTCCTCCTCCTCCTCCTCCTCCTCGTCCTCGTCCTCGTCCTCGTCCTCGTCCTCGTCCTCGTCCTCGTCCTCGTCCTCGTCCTCGTCCTCGTCCTCGTCCTCCTCCTCGTCCTCGTCCTCGCCGAGACTCTCGCTCTCGCCGTCCGCCCCCGGGCGGGGGCGGCCTGCGGCGCTTCCGCGCCGAGGCGTCGGCCGCCGGGCCCAAGGGGCGCGCGCCCAAGGGGCGCGCGTCAGTCGCGGCGTGCACGCTGCGGAGCTCGGCGGGGCGCGCCGCCCGTCCTCCCTCATCCTCCTCCTCCTCCCCTCTCCTCCTCATCCTCCCCATTCCATGCTACCTTCCTCCTCTCCTCCTCCCTCCCCTCCTCCTCCGCCTCCTCCTCCTCCTCTGGGGATGTTTGTGAAATTTAAAAGCCCGTTTTTTTTTTGTCGTCTGAAAATAGCATTGGATTTTGGCTCCCCGACCGGGTCTGGGCACACTCCGAATTCAACGATTTTGTTTTCAAGTACCTGGAGGTTTGTGAATTATTGCGCGGCTATGTTTTTTAGGAAGAGAAATTTTCAAGAGGTTTTGTTATTGCTGGGTTGGGTTGCCGATCATATTTTCGCAGTGCTAAGTACACGCAGTGTGGAAATACACACTAAGATATGTTAAGCCGTATTTTTCGCACACTCGTTGTTGCCATTTGGGAATGAGAATCAGCTTTCGTTTTATATGACGTCTCTTGTCGGCGTGAGAAATCTGGAGTAGCGCGTAGCTCGATCCAGCAAATTCAAGTTTCTGGATCGTATATGAAGGAGTCGCCGTGTGCTTTTTTCTGTCGATGACTATTTAAGCGTTAGATTTTCGAAGGGGGATTCTTGTTGGGGTCGGTTGACATTTGCACGGTTTTCACGCAGTTGCGTTCGCCGTTTTGTTTTTTTTTGTTCTTATGCAGTGTCCCCCGGGAGATTGTCGTTCGAGTCGTTCTCTGTTCGACGCGCCCGTCTCTGCCGCCGCTGCCGCCGTCGTCGCGTCGTCGTAGTCGTCGTCTGTCGTCGTGAGTCGTCGTCGTCGTCGTCGGCGTCGGCGTCGGCGTCGGCGTCGGCGTCGGCGTGGCCGTCACCGCGGCGCCGACTTTCTTCTCGAAACCGCGGCCCTCGCCGCGACCTCGCCGCGGGCCCCGCGGCGGCGCGATGGCCGCGGCCGCGGCGGCGGCGGCCGCCGACCTCGAGGGCCAGGGCCCGAGGCGCGGGTGGGAGGGCGGGGGGATTAGAAGGAGGAGGAGGAGGAGGAGGAGGAGGCGGCGGAGGAGGAGGAAGAGGAGGAGGAGGAGGAGGAGGAAGAGGAGGGAGAGGATGAGGATAATGATGAGACCGACCACCCATTAGGATCGCAGTGGCGCTGTACGGGTACGCGTTCTCGCCCAGCGAGGGCGACTTCCCGTGCTGTCGTTTCAACTCCCTTCGCCACGTCGTAGAGTGCAGCGTGGAGATCGGCGGCCACGATGCTCGTGATCGACGGGAGGAGACTGCCTTGAGAACGCAGGTGATGGCCCATCTGTCCACCCTGCCTCCAGGTGTCGGTGGCCCCGCGGCGCCGTTCGACACCTCCCACCTCCGTTCAGTTGTTGAGGAGCCGGGGATCTCACCTTCCCGTCCCCACCCCACCACCGCGCCCACCATCCCCCGCTCAGACTCCCGCTCCCGCCACGTGGCCCGTTCGGCCAATTGGAGCTCTCGCCCTACTCTTGCTTGCCCCTCCCCCCCCCCCATCCATGCCCGCCCGCCCCGACCCCCCGTCCCCGAGAAACGTGGAAACGTTGTTCGAGCGTTTTCTGAACTTCGGAACGCCCCGAGGAGATTTTCAACGTTCGCGGCGTCCCCTGGGAAGTTGTGGACAGAAATGTTGGGCAGCGCCTCCGCGCGCAGGGCGCGACGACTGCGTGCCTGGGGCGGCGCGGCCCTGTCCGCGCGCCGCTTCCGCGGGCGGGGGGGGGCGCTTCCCGAGGCGGGGCCGGGGTTCCAGGGAGGTGCGCGGGCCGAGGCGGCGGCAGGGCCGCTGGCGGCGTGCCTGTCCGCGCCGCTGGCGGATCTCTTGCGCAGCGGCGACAGCTTGCGAGAATGGTGCTGCTGCGTGGTTCAATCCGAGGGGTGCCCGGGTGCCCAGGGTGCCCGGAGTTGCATTTCTTGCCATCGCATTGCGTTGCATTGCATTGCTTTGCGTCGCATCGCGTTGCAATCGCGGTGCGTTGTGTTGCCATCGCGTCGCACGGCGACGACTTTTTCGAGCGCCCCTCGCGGCCCTTCTCAGCTTCTCAGCTTCTCAGCCCCTCCCAGGGCCCCCAGGAATATGATGAGATGAGGATGGGGCCCTAGGGGCCCTGGCTAGGGGGCCCCCGGATAGAACGAGGAGGCCGAGGGCGACGGGGATGAGCAGGAGGAGGAATGGTCCAGGAATGGTGGGTGACGTGACGAGGATGGGCGAGGCAAGAGAGGGGGGGGGGGAGGAAGAAGGGGGGAGATGAGGAGGGAGGAGGAGGGGGGGCGTTCGAGCTCCCACGAGGTGGCACGGAAATCCGCCCTATCTGATGTTCGGCGGACGTTGCGGCAAACTCGCGTGTCCGTGGATCGCTGGAGGCAGAAGTGTTTCGAGCTTCGGGATGCGCTGAAGGTCGCCAGGATGCACGCGTGTGAGTTGAAGCACGGTTCGGTGATTAAGTTAAGCACCGGCGGAAGGCGAGCGGGCCCCCACCGGAGCACCCTTCTAAATTTACCCTTCCCCCCCCATCCCCACCCCCTCTCGCCCCCCCCCCCGCGCCGCGTCCCCGCCCGAGCCGACTTCTTGTTTCCTCTATTCATCTGTTCAGCTCCCACCCGCCCAATCAGGGCGCGAAGATCTATCGCCTTTCGACTGGGGGTGGATATTCACTCGCCTTCAAGCGCAACAGGGGCCACGCTGGTTGCGAGGCGCTCCTGGCGCACATCGATGCCCCGCTGTCGCGATGCTCGGTTCAAACATGGGAGCACTTGTTAGGCGCCGCCTGTTCTCCTTTTTCTGTTTGAAACTTGTTTGTGAAGTTGCCGGTTGTGGTTACGGATTACCATTGCAAAGTATTTGGAACAGTTGGCTTTCCTTTTTGCAGCGCGAGACGCTGCGACTGCAAGGTCTCACGGGCTAAGGTAGAATTGTTGTAGAAAAGTGGAAAGGAAGGTAGGGCGCCGTGGGGGTGAGGGCGGGGGGCACAGTACAGCAGGGGGTAGCGCAGAGGGCGCTCCGCGGCCGCGTCATCGCGGGCGGTGGCGCCAGCGACGGAGATCTCCGCGGGCCCCCCTCCTACCACGCGCCTGCCCCCTGCGCTTGCAGCAATGGGATGGCGTGGGTGGGGGAGGGGGGGCGCGTGTGCGGAGGAGAGGGGCGTGGCAAGGGGGAGAGGGAGAGGATAGGTGAGGGGGAGAGGTTTGTGGCAGTGATGCGGATAAGGAAAAAAGTTATGATGAGGCTCGGAGCGGGGACGGTGGAGAAACGAGGAGAGGTTTTGAGGCGCCCCCCCCCCCCCCCCTCTCTCCCAGTGCCCGCCGCCTTCCACGCCCCCGGGCGCTCCGCCCTTGCCCCCCCCCCCCAGGCCCCCCCCCCCCCCCCCCCCCTTCTTGCGCTCTGCTTTTATCCAGGTGAGCCGCCCCTCCTGACCCACGAGATCCACAACGTCCGCGGGGACGCGACAAATTCGGCGGCACCCGGCCACGAATGCAAAGCTCACAGTTGCCAGGTGAGATCAAAATTCCGACAGGCCATCCCCCCCGCGCTGCTGGACCTGCTGCCCCGGGAAGACCGCGACGGCGGCGGCGGCCGCGGCGGCGGGCCCAACGTCGACGACGTCGGCGCGAAGGTCGAGGAGGAGGTCGAGGCAAAGCAGGAGGTCAAGGTGAAGGAGGAAGTGAAGGAGGAAGTGGAGGAGGAGGTCGACTTCGATCAGGAGGGCGCCGCCGTCGGCGTCGCGCCGCCGCTTCGCCCCATGTGCTTGTTGGAAGGACTTGACGTGGCGGCCGCGGAGGACCCCCTTTGCTATCGAATCTCGCCCCTATCCTTCCATCCTCCCCCCCCCCGCCCCGCCCCGCCCCGCCCGCCCGCCCGCCCCCGGCCCGCGGGCCCAGTGCGTTCGGAACCCGCTCGCCAGGAGCTCTTGGACACATTCGACAACCTGCCGCCCCCAGAGAACGTTGGCCACCCAGATCTTGCGAAGGTGCCGCACAACAACGGTGCTCTCGAACAACGCGCGATTTTCCTGAAGCAGTTGGAAAATATAGGGGCCAGAACTTGGGTATCGGACTTGTGGCACATGCCTAAATACGACGACTACGACGAGGCAGCACGTGATAATGAGCATCTGCAACACGTGCACGTGCGGGTCTGGATCTTCGGGACTGATGCTGGCGGCGATCAATCAGGCTGCCACAAGCTATTGATTCGAGAATTTCGTGGATACATCTATGGATGATCAGGTCTGGCGCGGGTCGCGCCAGCCATCTCACTCTCCCATTCTCGCTCCCTCTGCCAGCCGAATTTCCCACCTGCCCACTCCCCCATCACCCCCTCGCCCCACCCCCAGCCCATCCTGGGGCCCACCCCCCTCATTCCTCGCCCCACCGCCCCCTGTCCCCTCCTGCCCCCAGATCCTGGCGCCTGCATCACCAGTTGCACCTCATTGTGCAGAAACAAGTGGGGCGCCGAGGGAGGTCGGACAAGTACTTCAGTTATTTGGCAATGTTCGTCAATACGTGGCGCGCGTGTGGACACGCAAAACTTATTCGCGCCGCGTGGGAGGAAGTCAATCCAGATCGAGCTGGCGAGGTGTGCCGGCGCTTGCCTCCTCGGCCTCTCAAGGGGCGGTGGTGCTCAACTCCTGGCGCAGAGGAGGCTTGACGGCCTGTTGACAGCTCGCCTCGCCGCCTCGCTCGCCCCTGCCTCCACCTTCCTGCTCAGCCTGCTGTTCGCTCTCTTCTTGTCCTCCTGTGCTGCTGTGTCCTCGTGGCCCTTCCCGCTCCCTCTCGCTCTCTCCTGCGTTGCGCGCGTGCGTGTGGGCTGAGGCGGACGGCTGAGACGTTTGACTTTTCTCTCTTGGGATCTAGTGCCACTGCGCACTGTTGGGGATGTTTTCGTTGGGCTTCTGGGCCCGAACGGTTTCTAGGCGGCGTTCCCTGGTTGGAAATCCAGTCGCGACGGACGGCGGGCCTGGCAAGACGGGCCGACGGGCCGACGGGCCTCAGCATGCGCACATC